TTGGACGCAAAGGCAGCCTTGTGGTCGCACACATTACAGTCGGGACGACGTCCCCAATGTAACTTCTTAGTAGTATTCGTCACAGCATGAGAAATAGAAGACCCACAAGCAGCACAAAGAAAAGAATAGAGGTTATACTCAAGCATTGGTTTCCACTTGAAAAGAAAATAGACTTAATTTAAGGTTTTGTATGTTAACGTCACTCTACAATGATGAGTCATGCCACAGTGAACCAAGCGGGGTAACTTTGAGCCGCCCAGAGTTTTTCTAAGGTGCGAATCAATCCAGTATATCAGTGTTTTGGTATTAAACTCCTAGTGCATTAATAGAACTGTAACAGCAGTTATGAATAATCAAAATGAAACTACATCAATATTAGTTGTAACAAATTATTCAATGAAGTGCTTGATGACAACTTCCAAAGCTGAAAATATCTGCTGAAAATTTAATATTTCCTTGTTATCAGTATATAGGAGGGTTGCAAAAAGGTTGGGCCCCCGAGATGGCGCCAGCGTCGGAATGGCAGCCCACCCATCTACGCGGTCTCTGCGTGGGCACTCAAGTGCATTCTGCTCATACAAACTGCAACGTCATACACACTGCCATGCCTACAACCTTTTCTTGCTGTTCACTGTTTAAAGAGAACTGATAAAGCGCGAGACCAGAGAAGATCTGCGCTACGACAGACCGCAGAGACGACAGCGGACGCCAATACCCTCCGAAGCATATGACGTCAATTGCAACCTTCCTATAGTAATTGCTAAGGACAAAGTTTGTGAAATACATTCTAATTGTTCCTAGTAAAATGTGTTCATTCTCAATCTCTAGCTATACTGGCACAATACCTTAAAAAGACTGGCAGCCTATTTCTTTCTACAGAATTTTAAATAAAACCTCCAAAAGCTACCTGGCAATGGTCAAGCCTGCACTGGTTGATTAGAGTAGGTGGAAGGATATTTTGTAAGCACGATTTTCTTATCTGAGATAACCCTAAAGAAGATGTTGTGGTTCCACCAAAAATCCTGGGAAGTGATAGAGAAGTTTACTGCTTTCCACACGAGCTGTTCGTTATACTCAATGTTATTATTCACAAGAGGAAGGGAGCAACAGTGGTTAAACACGTTCATTTTCACATTCTCAACCATGTTTGAACAAAAGAATAGGTAGACTAGTTAGACTAGGGGACCATGTGCATCTTCGCTCGCTTGCCACGTGGGGCCTAATTTCAACTTTCATGAGTTTAGTAAAGAAATAGTAATGCTTATAAATCTGTACTTGCTCTGCAATGATAGAGCATATTTTAACCAATAGAATAAGCAATCTTTTCATTACTGAGGGGACATCAATAATGATGGGGTTGTCTCTTCCTTTAATGTACAATTACATATTTTCAGACGTACAAGCATGTCATATTAAACGACAGCATACCGGACCGTGCGCTACTAAACAAAATAAATTTGAAACTAAAAAAAAAACTACACTGTACTATTTCTTTAGCACTAACCTTAAAAACAGAAGGGGACACTTACATTCACAAAATCAAGAAAGAAATTAAAACTAAAACACAATTTTTCAGAAACAGGTTGCACTATCACAGACTAATTTTCAGTGATTATTATTGATGAAAACACACCAATAGAACTGTATTCTATGAGAATAACAAATCATTCAGGGTATTATGTCAGTCAACTTCCATTGCAACACTAGGAATGATATGTTGATGCCCTAACATACTTGTAATGTGAGCACTGGAATACCAAGCATACAAAATATTCGCAAAGTATGGCAACCTATTCGGTGTGACAAAACATAACTTCAAGTCTAATTATCTGAGAAATCATTAAATGCTTGACATGTGTGAACTCTTTATGTTCAAGTACACAACAAAAAAGCTAAGCCATAATACTAACAAAAAGTTAAATACAGAGCCCCAAAACATCTTGTACGTTTAATAGAGATAAAGAAAGGGTTAGTCTGAAATGATAAAACATTGCATATCATCACTTGGCCAGCAACGAAACAGAAATCGCCACTTCCAAATTGAGAATCAAGGAAGATAGCTGAAAAAAAAAAGGGCCTCATTGCACGAATAAATGGGTATAATTTTTACCTCATAGTAAACTGAACACAGAGTGAGACATAAAACAAAAATTAAGTGAACCTGGAACGATATGACAGTACACCAACGTGTTTGTTATCAAACTGCAATCTGTTAATTAAAAATCACAATCAGGATTGGAGGCATCTATTCTGATTACAAGTCTAAACGAAATGGCCCAGGCAAAAAAAACATGTTCCATTAACACGAGAATATCAAGCTAACACTTGAGTGTGCACACTGTTAATGTTCTTGAAAACTTAATAATGCTTCACTTCATCACAATTACCGAAGCATTCATGTTCGAGTTCAGATCACCACTCTACTGCCCTAAAAACAAAATTTCCACTAAAAAAAAGCCAAATGCAATGAGACTGTTTAAGAGAACATGTCTGTTGAACACTTTAAACATAACTGACTTCACATGTACAGGTGCTTTGCATGTGATTAATTTATGCCAAGAACTTTTAGTGAACAAAAGGTTTTAGGAAAGAATCTAACATTGTGTGTTGTGTTAGTTACAGCTGCATGTAGTGACATAAGTTGAAAGGTACGGGTAATGAATTAGTGCTCTTAAATGCACTGAAAACACAAAGAGATGTCACGGGGTTATGGATAATACAACCTGCAGCAATGTTAATAAAGGAACTAAACTCGCACAACATTCAATACATGAGGCGTCCCTTAAACTTAAATATATCTACAAGATTTTTCCAGCTATGTTAGAACATTCTGTGTAACGATCCTGACGTTAAAAAAATGTTGATGCAGTTAGCAAATAAATGAGTAGATAAAAATACAGATAAAAAATTATATCATAGAAAAAATGGCTGGTAAACAATAAGGAAAAGCGCTCACTTGCATCCAAACAAAGCTCGTTACCGAAGCGAGCAAACACAAGGCACAGCCTATCGTTTGTCTGATATTTTGCAACCAGCTCAGGAGGTCAACCGGAAAAATTCCCTTTTCCAGCCCACAAAATGGCCACAGATTTTATTACCAAGTAGTGCGTATGCATTGCATTTTGTGACCATTGTTTCTGTTGGTATAAACAGATGAATATATTTTTTTTTGCCCAATCTTCAGATGCTGCACATTTGTTGCTTTCCCCTTTGCCTGCACAACCATGAGCATAGCTGTATTGCATTCGTACGATGCGCACCACTCAGTTCCTAACCCCTTATACTCAAAAACAAGGCAGTGGCATAAACACTTGAAAGCATTTTTTCAAGATCCTGCAGTGCACTGAGACAAGAGTGTCACAAAATATTATCACATTTGCACACTGTATGCACCAACTACATCAAAATTGCACTTACAGGGTCTCTATATTTCAATTTCAATATTGATTGTTACCATCTCTCTAGAATGCCATGAAGCGTGAAGTCCATGCGTTTAAACTTGCAACTGAAACTACCAAATCATAAAACACATACAGGTACAGCTTGCTGGTAGTACGATATTATGTATTTATGGTTGCTTATGGGTACACATGCAAGAATTTTGCATTGAACTTGTAATATACAGAATACTATTTTATTGGTTATTGATGAATCCTATAATGAAGCGATGGGAAATAATGACACGTTCTCAGTGCACTTTACAAAATACATATAGATGCTATAGTGAGATAAGCTTAAATGCTGTCCTAATTATTCAAATGCTCTGAAATAATTTTGAAAATGTCCAATCCCACTTCTGCCACTTTTGGACCAAATAACAATCTCTGTCACTCACTCTCCTGCATGGGTGCGCAGGTGATCCTTCCATGTCTTCCTATGTGTGAAGCTACAGCCACACAAGTGGCACTTGTATGGTCGTTCTCTTGTGTGGTGTGCGCAGGTGCTCTTTCAACGTAGACTTTTGCGAGAAGGCTTGAGGACACAAGTGGCACTTGTGCGGTCGTTCTCCTGTGTGGGTGCGCAGGTGCTTTTTCAACGTAGTATTTTGCGAGAAGGCTTGAGGACACAAGTGGCATTTAAATGGCCGCTCGCCTGTGTAAACCCTCAAGTGCCGTTTCAAGTTGGACGAACAGGTAGCATTGTAGTCGCACACATTACAGTTGTGACGGCGTCCCCAAAGTAACTTGTCAGTAGTATTCGTCACAGCAGGAGGAATAGAAGACCCACGAGCTGCACAAAGAAAATAATACAGGTTACTCAAGCATTGCTTTCCCCTTGAATAGAAATAGACTTAATTTTAGGGTTTTACATCGGCAACATCAGTCTATGATAATGAGTCATGCCACACTGGGGGCACCTTCAGTTAACTTTTAGCCGCGCAGGGTTTTGATAATGTGCACACAAATTCAAGTATAGCAGTGTTTTAGTTTATCACTCCTAGTGCATTGCTAGCACTGCAGAAGCAGTTGTGAATAAGCAACATGAAACTACAGCAATATTGGCTGTTACAAATTATTCAATGAAGCACTTGATGAAAACTTTCGAAGCTGAAAATATCCGCTGAACCCTTAAAATTTCCTTGTTATCAGTATATAGGAGGGTTGCACAGAGGTGGGGCTCCCGAGATGGTGCCCGTATCGAAATGGATGCCCACCCATTTAGGGGGTCTCTGCGTAGGCACTCAACTGCATTCTGCTCATACAAGCTACAGCGCCATACACACTGCCATGCACACAACCTTTCCTTGTCGTTCGCTGTTTCAAGAGAACTGATAAAGCGCCAGACCAGAGAAGATCTGCGCTACGACAGACCACCGAGTTGGCAATGGATGCCGCTAGTGCCTCAAGCGGATGGTGTCACTTGCCAACCTGCTATATGTAATTGATAAGGGGAAAGTTTCTAAAAAACATTCTTATTGTCCTAGTAAATGTATACATGTCAATCTCTAGCTATAAAGGCAACAAACCTAAAAACTGACAGCCAATTTTTTTTACAGAATCTTATGTAGAAGCCCAAAAAGCTATCTTGCAATAGTTGATTCAAGTGGTTGATTCAAGTGGTGCAAGGACGTTTTGTAAGCACAATTTTTTCATCCGAGGAGACTCTTAAGAAGTTGGTGTGGCTCCACTAGCTACGCTGAGAAGTGATAGCAAAGTTGACTGCTTTTAAATACTCGAACTGTTCATTATGCTCAATGGTCTCTATTTGCAGGAGAGGGGGCAACAGTGGTTAACCATCTACATTTTGACATTCTCAACCGCGTTTGAACAAGACTAGGTAGAATAAATTTGCTGAATTTTTGTTCTCCTCTAAAGTGTCTTTACTGCACCATAAACCAGGCGCTCCTAGCATTTCTCCAATTAGTCTGCATGTGCTGTTCAGCCCTTAACTAACAACTTTCATGAGGCCGCTCGTGAGCAATGAATCATAAGACAAGTCAAGGCAATGCCACTATAGTTTTCAGTACGAATGAAAGCGGATATGCCCATAAAAGTTAGACCTGATTTTATAATAAAAATAGTGCACTGCATTTCAACACTAATATTGCGACAGCTGTGCACATTAGTAAAGATCACGTGATGGGGACCATATGCATCTTCACTCGCTTGCCACACGGTGGTTAAAATGTCATTTTTCATGACTTTAGTGAAGCAATATAAATGCTTATAAATCTGTATTTGCTCTGGATTGATAGAATGTGTTTGAACTAATACAATAAGCAATCTTTCCATTACTGAGATTACATCAATCATGATGGTGTTGTCTCTTCCTTTAATGTACGTTTACATCTTTTTAGACGTACAAGAATGTCATATTAAACGAATGCATACCGGACCGTGCGCTACTAAACAAAATAAATTTGAAAATAAAAAAACTACACTGTACTTTTTCTTTAGCACTAACTTAAAAACAAAAGGGGACACTTATATTCACAATATCAAGAAAGAAATTAAAACTAAAAACACAATTTCTCAGAAACATGTTGCACTATAACAGACTAATATTCAGTGATTATTATTGATGAAAACACACCAATAGAACTGTATTCTATGAGAATAACAAATAATTCAGGGTATTATGTCAGTCAACTCTTATTACAACAATGGGCATATTATGTTGATGCCCAAACATACTTTTAGTGGGAGCACTAGAACACCAAGCATACAAAATATTTACACAATATGGTACTTTTAGAGAAAGCACTGGAATACCAAGAATACAAAGTATTTGCAAAGCATAGCAACGTATTTGGTTTTACAAAACGTAACTTCAAATCAAATCAAGTGAGAAATCATTAAATGCTTGATATCTGCGAAACTCTTTATGTTCAAGTACACCAACAAAAAGCTAAGCCATACTACTAACAAAAAGTAAATACAGAGCCCCAAAACATCTTGTACGTTTAATAGAGATAAAGAAAGGGTTAGTCTGAATGATAAAACATTGCATATCATCACTTGGCCAGCAACGAAACAGAAATCGCCACTTCCAAATTGAGAATCAAGGAAGATAGCTGAAAAAAAAAAGGGCCCTCATTGCACGAATAAATGGGTATAATTTTTATCATCATAGTAACTGAACACAGAGTGAGACATAAAACAAAATTAAGTGAACCTGGAACGATATGACAGTATACAACCAAGTGTTTGTTATCAAACTGCAATCTGTTAATTAAAAATCACAATCAGGATGGAGGCATCTATTATGATTACAAGTCTAAACGAAATGGCCCAGGCAAAAAAACATGTTCCATTAACACGAGAATATCAAGCTAACACTTGAGTGTGCACACTGTTAATGTTCTTGAAAACTTAATAATGCTTCACTTCATCACAATTACCAAAGCATCCATGTTGGAGTTCAGATCACCACTCTACTGCCCTAAAGACAAAATTTCCACTAAAAAAAGCCAAATGCAATGAGAATGTTTAAGTGAACATGTCCGTTGAACACTTTAAACATAAGTGACTTCACATGTACAGGTTTTTGCATGTTAACAATTTATGCCAAGAATTTTTAAGTCAACAAAAGGTTTAGGAAAGAATCTAACATTGTGTGTGTGTTAGTTACAGCTGCATGTAGTGACATAAGTTGAAAGGTACGGGTAATGAATTAGTGCTCTTAAATGCACTGAAAACACAAAGAGATGTCACGGGGTTATGGCTAATACAACCTGCAGCAATGTTAATAAGGAACTAAACTCGCACAACATTCAATATCATGAGGCGTCCCTTAAACTTAAATATATCTACAAGATTTTTCCAGCTATGTTAGAACATTCTGTGTAACGATCCTGACGTTAAAAAATGTTGATGCAGTTAGCAAATAAATGAGTAGATAAAAATACAGATAAAAAATTATATCATAGAAAAATGGCTGGTAAACAATAAGGAAAAGCGCTCACTTGCATCCAAACAAAGCTCGTTACCGAAGCGAGCAAACACAAGGCACAGCCTATCGTTTGTCTGATATTTTGCAACCAGCTCAGGAGGTCAACCGGAAAAATTCCCTTTTCCAGCCCACAAAATGGCCACAGATTTTATTACCAAGTAGTGCGTATGCATTGCATTTTGTGACCATTGTTTCTGTTGGTATAAACAGATGAATATATTTTTTTTTGCCCAATCTTCAGATGCTGCACATTTGTGCTTTCCCCTTTGCCTGCACAACCATGAGCATAGCTGTATTGCATTCGTACGATGCGCACCACTCAGTTCCTAACCCCTTATACTCAAAACAAGGCAGTGGCATAAACACTTGAAAGCATTTTTTCAAGATCCTGCAGTGCACTGAGACAAGAGTGTCACAAAATATTATCACATTTGCACACTGTATGCACCAACTACATCAAAATTGCACTTACAGGGTCTCTATATTTCAATTTCAATATTGATTGTTACCATCTCTCTAGAATGCCATGAAGCGTGAAGTCCATGCGTTTAAACTTGCAACTGAAACTACCAAAATCATAAAACACATACAGGTACAGCTTGCTGGTAGTACGATATTATGTATTTATGGTTGCTTATGGGTACACATGCAAGAATTTTGCATTGAACTTGTAATATACAGAATACTATTTTATTGGTTATTGATGAATCCTATAATGAAGCGATGGGAAATAATGACACGTTCTCAGTGCACTTTACAAAATACATATAGATGCTATAGTGAGATAAGCTTAAATGCTGTCCTAATTATTCAAATGCTCTGAAATAATTTTGAAAATGTCCAATCCCACTTCTGCCACTTTTGGACCAAATAACAATCTCTGTCACTCACTCTCCTGCATGGGTGCGCAGGTGATCCTTCCATGTCTTCCTATGTGTGAAGCTACAGCCACACAAGTGGCACTTGTATGGTCGTTCTCTTGTGTGGGTGCGCAGGTGCTCTTTCAACGTAGACTTTTGCGAGAAGGCTTGAGGACACAAGTGGCACTTGTGCGGTCGTTCTCCTGTGTGGGTGCGCAGGTGCTTTTTCAACGTAGTATTTTGCGAGAAGGCTTGAGGACACAAGTGGCATTTAAATGGCCGCTCGCCTGTGTAAACCCTCAAGTGCCGTTTCAAGTTGGACGAACAGGTAGCATTGTAGTCGCACACATTACAGTTGTGACGGCGTCCCCAAAGTAACTTGTCAGTAGTATTCGTCACAGCAGGAGGAATAGAAGACCCACGAGCTGCACAAAGAAAATAATACAGGTTACTCAAGCATTGCTTTCCCCTTGAATAGAAAATAGACTTAATTTTAGGGTTTTACATCGCAACATCAGTCTATGATAATGAGTCATGCCACAGTGGGGGCACCCTGAGTTAACTTTGAGCCACCCAGGGTTTTTATTATGTGCACATAAATCCAAGTATAACAGTGTTTTAGTTTATCACCCCTAGTGCATTGCTAGCACTGTAGAAGCAGTTGTGAATAAGCAACATTAAACTACAGCAATATTGGCTGTTACAAATTATTCAATGAAGCGCTTGATGGCAACTGTCGAAGCTGAAAATATCCGTTGAACCTTTAAAATTTCCTTGTTATCAGTACATAGGAGGGTTGCACAGAGTTGGGGCCCCCGAGATGGTGCCAGTGTCGAAATGGCAGCCCATTCATTTAGGCGGTCTCTGCGTAGGCACTCAACTGCATTCTGCTCATACAAGCTAGAGCGCCATACACACTGCCATGCACACAACCTTTCCTTGTCGTTCGCTGTTTCAAGAGAACTGATAAAGCGCCAGACCAGAGAAGATCTGCGCTATGACAGACCACCGAGTTCGCAATTGATGCCGCTAGTGCCTCAAGCGGATGGTGTCACTTGCCAACCTGCTATATGTAATTGATAAGGGAAAAGTTTCTAAAAAACATTCTTATTGTTCCTAGTAAAATGTATACATGTCAATCTGTAGCTATACTGGCAACAAACATAAAACTGACAGCCAATTTTTTTTTACAGAATCTTATGTAGAAGCCCAAAAAGCTATCTTGCAATAGTTGATTCAATTGGTTGATTCAAGTGGTGCAAGGACGTTTTGTAAGCACAATTTTTTCATCCGAGGAGACTCTTAAGAAGTTGGTGTGGCTCCACTAGCTACGCTGAGAAGTGATAGCAAAGTTCACTGCTTTTTGAAAACTCGAACTGTTCATTATGCTCAATGGTCTCTATTTGCAGGAGAGAGAGTAACAATAATTAACCATCTATATTTTGACATTCTCAACCGTGTTTGAACAAAAGACTAGGTAGAATAAATTTGCTGAATTTTTGTTCTCCTCTAAAGTGTCTTTACTACGTTATAAACCAGGCGCTCCTAGCATTTCTCCAATTTGTCTGCACATGCTGTTCAGCCCTCAACTAACAACTATCATGCGACCACTCGTGAGCATTGAATCATAAGTCAAGTCAAGGCAATGCCATTATGGTTCTCAGTACAAATGAAAGCGGATATGCCCATAAAAGTTAGACCTGATTTTATAATAAAAATGGTGCACTGCATTTCAACACTAATATTGAGACAGCTGTGCATATCAGTAAAGATCACGTGATGCGGACCATATGCATCTTCGCTCGCTTGCCACGTGGGGCCTCAAATTTCATTTTTCATGAGTTTAGTGAAAAAATTGAAATGCTTATAAATCTGTACTTGCTCTGAAATGATAGAGCGTATTTTAACCAGTACAATAAGCAATCTTTCCATTATTGAGGTAACCTCAATGATGAGGAATTGTTTTGTTCTTTAGTGTACGTTTACATCTTTTTAGATGTGCAAGCATGTCATATTAAACGACAGCATACCGGAATGCACGCTACTGAACACCATAAACTAGAACACAAAAAACAACGTACTATTTATTTAGCGCTAAGCTTAAACACAAAAGGGGACACTTACATTCACAAAATAACAAAGAAAATAAAACTGTAAAAAAAACACAATGTACAGACATATGTTGCAATATCACAGACTAATTTTCAGTGATTATTATTGATGAAAACACACTAATGAAACTGCATTCTATGGCAATAACAAATTATCCAGAGTATTATGTCAGCCAACTTCCACTGCAACACTAGGCATAATATGTTGATGCCCTAACATACTTGTAGTGCGAGCACTGGAACACCAAGCATACAAAATATTCACAAAGTATGGCAACCTATTCGGTTCGACAAAACATAACTTCAACTCTAATTAGGTGAGAAATCTTTAAATGCTTGACATGTGTGAACTCTTCATGTGAAAGAACACAACAAAGAAGCTAAGCCATAATACCAACAAAAAATAAAATAAAGAGCCCAAAACATCTTGTACGTTTAAAAGAGATAAAGAAAGTGTTAGCCTGAAATGATAAAACATTGCATATCATCACTTGGCAAGCAACATAACAGAAATCGCCACTTTTAAATTGAGAAGCAACGAAGATAGCTGAAAAAAAAAAAAAGGCCCCATAGCACAAATAATGGGTATAATGTTTACCTCATAGTAAACTGAACATGGAGTGAGACGTAAAACAAAAATTAAGCGAACCTGGAACGATATGACAGTACACCAACGTGTTTGTTATCAAACTGCAATCTGTTAATTAAAAAATCACTGATGAGGATTGAAGGCATCTATTGTGATTACAAGTTTAAACGAAATGGCCCAGGCAAAAAAAAAACATGTTCCGTTAACACAAGAAAATGAAGCTAACACTTGAGTGTGCACACTGTTAATGTTCTTGAAAACTTAATGATGCTTCACTTCATCACAATTACCGAAGCATCCATGTTGGAGTTCAAATCGCCACTCTACTACCCTAAAAACAAGATTTCCACTAAAAAAAAGCCAAATGCAATGAGACTGTTTAAGTGAACATGTCTGTTAAACATTTTAAACATAACTGACTTCACATGTACAGGCCCTTTGCATGTGATCAATTTATTCCAAAAATTTTTAGTCAACAAAAGGTTTAGAAAAGGATCTAATATTGTGTGTTCTGTTTGTTACAACTGCTTATAGACACATAAGTCAAAAGGTACGGTTAACGAATCAGTGGTCTTAAATGCACTGAAAACACAGAGATGTCACGGGGTTATAGATAATGCAACCTCCAGCGATGTTATGAAGAAACTAAACTTGCACAGCACTCAATACACGAGCCCTCGCTTAGATTTAAATATAACTACAAAATTCTTTTGGCTAATTTTGTCTAACTATCCTGAGGTTCAAGAAATGGTGATGCAGCTAGCAAATGGGTGAATAAACAAAAACAGATAAAAAATTATATCATAGAAAAATGGCTGGTCAAACAAAGAGGAAAAGAGCTGATTGGCATCCAAACAGTGCTCATTGCATGAGCAAGGCACTCCGAAGCGAGTGAACATATGGCACAGTCTTTCGTTTGTCTCATATATCGCAACCTGCTCGTGGAGGTCGACCAAAAAAAATTCCTTTTTCCAGCCCACAAAATGGCCACAAACTTTTTAGCCAAGTAGTGCATATGCATTGCGTTTTGTGACCGTTAATGCTGTTGGAATAAACAGACGCATATTTTCATTTTTTTTCTGCCCAATTGTAAGATGCTGCATATTTGTTGGCCTTCACCTTTGCCTGCAAAGTCATGAGCATAGCTGTAATGCATTCGTACGATGCGCACCACTCAGTTCCTAATCCCTTATACTCAAAAGCAAGAGAATGGCATGAACGATTAAAGCCTTTCCTGCAGCGCACCGAGACAAGAGTGTCACAGAATATTATCACACTTGCACGCTATACGAACCTACTACATCAACAACGAGATTGCACTTTCAGGGTTTCTATAATTCCAATTTCAATATTGCTTGCTACCAGATCTCTAGAACGCCATGAAGCGTGAAGTCCACGCATGTAAACTCGCAATTAACACTTCTAAAGATATATAATACATACAGGTACAGCTTGCTGGTGTTACGATAGTATGTATTTATACTTGCTTATGAGTACATATACATAGGTTTTGCACGTAACTTATAAGATACAAAATACTATTCTAATGGTTACTCATGAATCCTTTGATGAAGCGATGAGAAATAATGACACCTTCTCAGTGCACTTTCAAATATGCATATAGATGCTTTAGTGAGATAAGCTTAAATGCGGTGCTAATTATTCAAATCCTTTGAGACAATTTTGAAAATGTCCAATCCCGTTTCTGCCACTTTTGGGCCAAATAACGATTTCAGTCACTCACTCTGCTGAGTGAATGCGCAGGTGATTCTTCAATGCGAATCTATTTGTGAAGCTACGGCCACACAAGTGGCACTTATGCGGTCGTTCTCCTGTGTGGGTGCGCAGGTGCATTTTCAACGCAGAATTTTGCGAGAAGGTTTGAGGACACAAGTGGCACTTGTACGGTCGTTCTCCTGTGTGGGTGCGCAGGTGCTGTTTCAACGTATAATTTTGCGAGAAGGCTTCAGGACACAAGTGGCACTTGTGCGGTCGCTCTCCTGTGTGGGTGAGCAGGTGCTTATTCAACGTAGACTTTTGCGAGAAGGCTTCAGGACACAAGTGGCACTTGTACGGTCGTTCTCCTGTGTGGGTGTGCAGGTGCATTTTCAACGTAAAATTTTCGAGAAGGCTTCAGAACACAAGTGGCACTTGTACGGTCGTTCTCCTGTGTGGGTGCGCAGGTGCTTTTTCAACGTAGAATTATGCGAGAAGCCTTGAGGACACAAGTGGCATTTAAATGACCGCTCGCCTGTGTGAACCCTGCAGTGCCGTTTCAAGTTGGACGAACAGGCAGTTTTGTAGTCGCACACATTACAGCTGTGACGGCGTCCCCAAAGTTACTTGTCAGTAGTATTCGTCACAGCATGAGGAATAGAAGACCCACAAGCTGCACAAAAAAAAAAAGAATAGAGGTTACTCAAGCATTGCTTTCCCCTTTAATAGAAAATAGACTAAATTTTAGGGTTTTACATGGCAACATCAGTCTATGACAATGAGTCATGCCACACTGGGGGCACCTTAAGTTAACTTTTAGCCGCACAGGGTTTTCATAATCTGCACATAAATCCAAGTATACCAGTGCTTTAGTTTATCACCCCTAGTGCATTGCTAGCACTGCAGAAGCAGTTGTGAATAAGCAACATGAAACTACATCAATATTAGCTGTTACAAATTATTCAACCAAACACTTGATCACAACTTCTGAAGCTGAAAATATCCGCTGAAACTTTAATATTTCCTTGTTATCAGTATATAGGAGGTTTGCGCAGATGTTGGGCCGCCTAGATGGTGCCAGTGTCGAAATTGCAGCCCACCCATTTAGGCGGTCTCTGCGTAAGCACTCAACTGCATTCTGCTCATACAAGCTAGAGCGCCATACACACTGCCATGCACACAACCTTTCCTTGTCGTTCGCCGATTCAACATAACTGATAAAGTGCCAGACCAGAGAAGATCTGCGCTACCACTGACCGCCGAGTTGGCAGTAGATACCGCTAGTGCCCCAAGCGGATGACGTCACTTGGCAACCTGCTATATGTAATTGCTGAAGGCAAAGTTTGTGACATATATTCCCCTTGTTCCAAGTTAAATGTATTCACCTTAATCACTTCCTGAACTGGCACCGTAACTTGAAGGAACTGATGGCCATTTTCATTTTTTTACAGAGTCCTTAATGGCACCTTTAAAAGCTCCCTGGCAAAGTAGTGGTTGAGTCAAATAGTGCACTAACATTTTGTAAGCGTTATTTTTTTATCAGCGAAAACCCTAAAGAAGTTGATGTGGTTCCACCAACAACGCTGAGAAGTGATAGCTAAGTTGACTGCTTTTCACGCGAACTGTTCATTAAGCTATTATGTGTTTTCCTTTAACACAAAGAAAAGCAACTGTGGTTAACCACCTTCACTTTGAAATTCTTCATTCCGTGTTTGAATATAAGACCAGGTAGAATAAAGTTGATGGATTCTCGTCATCCTGTAAAGTTCCTATGTAGCATTGCAAGCCAGACACTCCTTGCATTTCTCCAACTTGTCTGCATGTGCTGTTGAGCTTTCAGGTAACAACGTTTATGCTGCCGCTCCTGAGCATTGAATCATAAGACAAGTCAGGGCGATGCCACTATGCTTCTCAGTAGGAATGAAACCAAATATGCACAATATAGGTTAGTGCAAATTTCATAATAAAAACAGTACACTGCATTTCAACACTTATATCGAGACAGCTGTGCACATCAGTAAAGATCACGTGATGGGGATCTTCTCTCGCTTGCCACATGAGGCAAAAGATGTCATTTTTCATGACTTTAGTGAAAAAAAAAGAAATGCTTATCAATTTGTATTTGCTCTGGAATGATAGAGTGTGTTTTAGCCAATACAATAAGCTAACTTTTCCATTACCGAAGTTACCTCAATAATGATGGGGTCGTCTCTTCCATTAATGTACGTTTACATCTTTTTAGACGTACAAGCATGTCAAATTAAATGACAGCATACCGGACTGTGCACTACTAAACAACATAAATCAGAACATCAAAAAAACAACAACACCGTACTGCTTCACTAGCACTAAACTTAGAAACAAAAGGGGACACTTACATTCACAAAAACAACAAAGATAATAAAACTGTAAAAACACAATTTTTTAGAAACATGCTGCACTATCACAGACCATGTTTCAGTGATTATTATTGGTGAAAATACACCAATAGAACTGCATTCTATGGCAATAACAAATTATTCAGGGTATTATGTAAGTCAACTTCCAATACAACACTACGCATAATATGTTGATGCCCTAACATACCTTTTGAGTGAGAAGAGGAACACCAAGTATACAAGATATTTGCACAGTATGGCAACCTATTCGGTTTAAAAATACGTCACTGCCAAATTAACCATGTGACAAATAGTTAAATACTTGATATGCGGGAACTGTTCTTGTGCAAGAAGACAACAAAAAAGCTAAGCCATAATGACAGGAAATAAATAAAAAAGCCCCAAGAAGGCTTGCATGTTCAGGAGAGGTAATGAAAAATTCAGCTTGAAGTGAGAAAACCTGTCCTCATTTGGCAAGCAACAAAAAAGAAAGCACCAGTTTCAAATTGAGATGAGAGGTAGCGAAGACAGTTGGAAATAATACTTTCAATTCCACAAATAAATGGGTAATATTTGCCACATAATTAACTGAACTTAGAGTGAGACATGAAACAAACATTAAATGAACCTAAAATGATATGGCAGTAGACCAATGTGTTTGTTAGCAAACTGCAATCTGTTAATTAAAAAATCACAGATCAGGATTATAGGCATATATTCCAGTTACGAGTTCAAATGAAATGGCCTAGGCAAAAGAAAAATATTCCATGAGCAAAAGAAAATCAAGGTTCACATTTGTGTGTGCACACGGTTAATGTTCTTGAAAACTGAATAAATCTTGACTCCAGCACAATTACTGAAGCATCCATGTTGGAATTCCCATCAGCACACAGCTTTCTTTCAAAAAACTGAGATGCCACTTCAAAAAAGTAGTGAACCATGCAAACACTTTTTCAGTGTACTGAACTTTGATATGACTTTAGGCTCTTTACATGCAACATGAAGCTTCACATGCATGAAGGCTTTGCAGTGATGGAAGTGACTTTTTACTTTTCGGAACACACTTTGAAACAAGGAAAGTGCTGCTTTGGAGCAGCTATAAGTGTTTTCGGAGCAGAAAGAAATGCTTGTTTAGAGTAGCTATTGGTGTTTTAGAAGCAAATATTGAATTTGCCGCACAATTAATTGGAGTTCAGCACATTGTCAAAGCATCTGTTCAACATTAGTATTTCCTATGAAACATGCTTAACACACAACAATCAATGCAAATTTCACGTAAGTAAACAATGACGGCTTGTCAAAAATGAGCTGCGAAATAAGCTACAAATTAAAATAGTGGTATTTGTGACAGAAACAAATTGAGACTGGAAAAGCTGAGCACCACATTTTAGAAGTGACCACAGTCCCATATAACAGTTGCCAAACAAGCAGTAACTGTAATCAGGGTGAAATAAAAGCAATCCCGGTAATTTCCACATTTCACCACGCTAGCCTGCCTGTGTATTGCTGAGGATAAAAAGGGCCAAATGAGCTACACGCTCAAAGGGCAACTAAAAGCAAATACCAATTGATCTCAGATTTTCTGAAAGCTCAATGTATGAGAATGTCTAAAACAGCAACCAAACAATTTTTAGGCTAAATGTATAATACGAAGTACGCCATGAGTGGTAAATGATGCCGTGATCACGAAATTATGCCAATGATATTGTTACGGTGCGATGGATGCCTTTATTTACAGGAGATGATCAATGCGAGAGTCCAGGGATCTGGCCGATCACCGCTCGTGCCAACCTCGTTCTCCTCTTCTTCCACGCGCATCCTCAGTATCGTAGCAATTCCCCCTTTGCAGACGATGCCCACCGGGCGAGTTAGGCTTCGTTGCGATGATGATAGCGTTTTAAACGGGCAACATGAACGATGTTGGTCTTGCTTCAGCGGCGGCCAGTTGACAACAGCTGAGATATCACGTACGTGACATCGCTTAGACGTTCCAAGACAACAAACGGACCGGTGTAGTTGGCCAGAAACTTTTGGCAGAGGCCGCGCTTGCGAAGCGGCGTCCAAAGCCACACCAAATCCCCTTTCTCAAACCATACGTGCCGGTGACTTTTGTCGTAATGGTTTTTGGAGCGTTTCTGTGAGACGAAAGTTCGAAGACAGGCGATGCGCCGGGCCTCTTCTGCGCGGCAAATGGTTTCAGCGAGAGTAGGTTGATCAGTCTCGGAAAAAGGAAGAATAGTGTCAAGAGCTGTGCGGGGTTGGCGTGCGTAGAGCAGATAAAATGGACTGTATCTCGTTGTTTCGTGCTGTGCAGTGTTGTAGGCGAAAGTTATAAATGGCAAAATCGCGTCCCATGTTTTGTGTGCAGAATCAACATACATGGAAATCATGTTGACGAGAGTCCTATTTGTTCGTTCCGTCAAACCATTAGCCTGCGGGTGATACGGGGTAGTGTGACGAAAATGGCATGAAGCAAGACGAAGGAGGTCTTCAACTACATCGGCAACAAATTGCCGCCCGCGATCACTGATGATGACACGGGGGGATCCATGGCGTAATATAACGTGTGACAGCATGAACTGTGAAACTTGAGTGGCCGTTGCCGCAGGAATCGCCGCAGTTTCGGCGTAACGTGTGAGGTGGTCAACGCTCACAATAATCCATCGGTTGCCGTTCGTTGATCGCGGAAAAGGGCCGAGCAGATCGACACCTACGACGTCAAATGGTGAACTCGGGGGTGCTATGGGATGAAGTAGTCCGGCTGGCGGAGTTGTAGGACGCTTGTGGCGTTGACATTGATCACAGCTCCCAATGTATGCAGTCACACTTTTACGCATCTTCGGCCAGAAGAAGCGTTCTTGCGTGCGATAAAATGTCCTAGAAAAACCCATATGGCCAGATGTTGGGTCGTCGTGCATTGCTCGAAGTACGTGTTGTCGAAGACTTGTAGGCACAACTAGAAGTAGGCGAGGGCCTACGCCGGAATAATTCTTTTTGTAAAGAACGCCATCCTTTACGACGAAACCACGTTGACCGTTCGTTCCGGAAATAAAGAAAGAAGCGAGACTGTTGTCATTGCGTTGCTCTGCTCGAAAAGTTGTTAGGTCGGGGAACGGAGTATCCACTACAGCCAAATATTCATCAAAGTTGTCAGCGTCACACTCGGTTGTCGGAAGGGGAAGTCGTGAAAGGCAATCAGCGTCGGCATGACGACGACCGCTCTTGTAGCAGACTTCAAAGTCGTGTTCTTGCAATCGTAATGCCCAACGAGCAAGACGACCAGATGGGTCCCGTAGTCCAGTGAGCCAACATAAAGAATGGTGGTCCGTGACAATCGAGAATCGGCGTCCATAGATATAAGGGCGAAACTTGTGCACGGCGAATATGACCGCGAGACATTCCTGCTCTGTGACAGTATAGTTTCGCTCCGGCTTACTTAAACAGCGACTGGCATAGGCAACGACGTGTTCAGCAGCTCCATGGCGTTGTACCAAGACGGCGCCAATACCTACACCACTGGCGTCGGTATGAACTTCTGCGGCAGCAGATGGGTCATAGTGGCGAAGTACGGGCCCTGACGTAAGAGCAAACTTGAGTTGCGAAAAAGACGACTCGCATTCCGCTGACCACCGAAAAGGTGCGTTCTTGTTGAGTAGGGACGTCAAAGGGTAAGCGAGGTCGGCGAACCTGGGCACGAAGCGACGGAAGTACGAGCATAGACCCAAAAAGCTTCGCAACTCTCGTACCGACTGAGGTTGGTTGAAGCTGCTGACTGCTGCGACTTTCTGGGGGTCGGGTCGAACGCCATGCTAGTCCACCAGGTGACCGAGAACGAGAGTCTCACGGCTGCCAAAGTGACACTTCTTAGAGTTCAGGGTGAGCTTAGCTCTCTCAAGGCAGGTGAGAACAATGTCTAGACGATGGTTGTGTTCATCGAATGTACGGCCAAATATTATAATGTCATCCAGGTAGCAAAGACAAACTTCCCACTTTAGTCCACGTAACACAGAGTCCATGAAGCGCTCAAACGTGGCTGGAGCGTTGCATAGGCCAAACGGCATTACATTGAATTCAAATAGACCATCTGGGGTTATGAAGGCCGTTTTCTCTTTGTCATTCGGGTGCATGGGTATTTGCCAATAACCAGATCTCAAATCCACGGATGAGATGTACGATGCCGAATGCAAACAATCGATGACATCATCAATCCTGGGAAGCGGGTAGACATCCTTTTAGTACAGAGTTGAGCCGTCTGTAATCCACGCAGAATCGCCATGTACCATCCTTCTTTCGGACAAGAATCACAGGGGCAGCCCAAGGACTAAACGACTCTTGAATAACCCTTTTCTTTAACATCTCTTCTACCTGTTGAGTAATGACCTTGCGCTCCGCAGATGAGACACGGTATGGTTTCTGCCGGATAGGGTGAGCGGATCCTGTGTCCTTGTCGATGAGGAAATTGTAGACATCCTCAGCAACCCCTTTGAGAAGATGCCCTACCTTGTCATCTTCTTTCATGCGTGGGTCTACAGACTTGCACAATTTCAGGATCTCTTCAATGTACGTTGTGCATGTTTCACCGGGGACTTGAGCACGCTGCATCAAAGTTTGCTCACCGCGCTTCTTCTTCATCAATGGGTCCCCGAAGCAGCTCGCTATTTCTTTCTCAAACGCTTCCCAGGTCATTATTGTTTCTTCGTGGTTTTCAAACCACACCAACGCCGTCCCTTGAAGAAACAATCCGACGTTGGACAACCGGGAGGCCGCATCCCAACAGTTGTATTTACTCACACGGTTGAAGTGTTTCAGCCATTCGTCGACGTCTTCTCCGACCCTCCCTGAGAAGCTTCGTGGTACCATGTGCCGGGGCCACGCAGCGCCAGACGAAGAGTGCGTGGTGTTGCCGTCAGCAATCGGATCCATAGAGAGCGGTGGTAGACCAGCCAGTCGGCGGCTTCGGCGTAGTTCTTGAGGTAGCGCTTCCGTGATCGTTGGCCTTGGATCGCTCCGCTGTACCCCGCACCTTCCACCAATCTTGTTACGGTGCGATGGATGCCTTTATTTACAGGAGATGATCAATGCGAGAGTCCAGGGATCTGGCCGATCACCGCTCGTGCCAACCTCGTTCTCCTCTTCTTCCACGCGCATCCTCAGTATCGTAGCAATATGAATGTCCACTTACAATTAATCACTGGTATCAAGCTGCAATAAAAAGGATCTTTCATGCATCAAGAGATGTAAATAAAATGGTGCTGGTCTGTTTGTCTGATTTATAGAAAAAAAAAAATATTCGCTGACATTACTAGGGAGGAATGGTGCGAGTGATTAAAAAAATTGATGGACCCTTAAGCTCCGTCTTGCAGAGCTGAACACGATCGCGATATTCTGTTCTTAGTGCATTCTTTGAATTCTTAGTGTATGAAATTTTTTTGAACTTCTTTTGAAGCCACTACGTAGCCTTAAGGGTGCAGTAGCATTCGTGCCTTTTGTAGTGGGTGACTGGCTTTAAACTTTGAACTCATTATGATAATTCCATGTTCTGATGCCCGATGACAATGCAAGCTTGTACCACACATTGTTACGGCAATATCACATGTTGCCTTGTGAAGCATGTACACAGGATGCGTGTGTTCGTGAAGCATGAAAGTAACTTTCACTGCCCTTCCAAGCAGTTCAGTTTTTGGCTGGTTAGGCTGGAATGTGGTGCCATCTAGCGGGGCCCAGTTGAATCAAGCAAGCAGAATCATGGCCTCCAAGAATGCAGAAAATAGTTCAATGGCCGCTGTTATTACTGCGGCTCCCGCTACTTTTGCTCTGCTGCTACTGGTGTCGGCAACTTCTTAGTGAAGACAACATTTGGACCAGTAACAGTGGCATCTAAGAGAGTACTTTCAAGTGCAAGTGATCTTACGTGCGCTAACGCGATGCAGACCATTTAAATGTTATTTTCTTTTTCAAAATAACCATTTCCTTGGCCCAAAACTAGCACTACGGGGTATTTGGACTGCTATTTCAGCAATCAACATTGACTTAATATTTACCTTTAAAGTCCTTTTAATATGCCAGTTCTTCTCGCACAAATGAGACCGAAGCCGATAATGCTGCACACTAGGGTGATAGCACAGCAATTATTTTCACTTTCTTTAAGTCTTGTATGAGTCGGTCAAAGAGTAAAGGTTTGTTATTCTCATTCTCTCGGTGCCATTTCGGAGCAGGTTTGGAGCGATTACTGACAAAAATTACTGTTTGAAGCAGCACGGGGCAGTATTTCTCTTTTGGAACAGTTTGGAGCAATTGGACCCGCACTTCCAAAACTGCCTTTCCATGTAGTTTACTTCAAGAATGTTAACAGAGTCAACAAAATGTTTCAGTAAGGAATCTAACTTGACGTGTTTTCAATGACCGAGTACAATGAGCTAGTCCTAAAAAGGTATGGTTAACAAATTAATGTTCTCAAAACATAAAAGAGTATTACATGGTTGTAGATACTACATCTTGCAATCTTAGTAATAAAAATATCCTGGGAGCATCTAAAAAAAGCTGGCCCCACCTATGTTTATATATGACAGCAAAACTTGCTCGTTGAACTGGAACATTCTGCGAGGCTATTCAGGTGTCATAGTTCAAACGGAAAGACAAAGTGTTCGCACATACAGTTGAACCCGACTATATCAAAAAGCTTATATGCTGTCCTGCACAATCCAGCGATCCCACAGTGCTTGGAAATGACCTGCAAAATGTGCTTTAACCGGAAAAGAGAAAAAGAAGAAAAAAAAAAAGAACACCCTCGTAGAGCAGAAATTTTGATGAAATGATTACTGGCACTTGTGAGAACACAAGTGTCTATTGGGGTGCACCTTCTGCCTAAATTTCTAAGGGCGAAGAGGGCATTGGTACAGTCGTTCACCAATGTGGAATATGCACATGATCGTTCAGTCTGGACTTGCGTGAGAAGCTTTGGGGGCACAGTAACACTTAAACAGACGTTCGCCCGTGTGGATAAGCAGATGTTTGTTCAATGAGGACTTATGCGAGAGAGAAGGCTTGAGGACACAGGTGGCACTTGAACGGCCGCTCGCCTGTATGAACCCTCATGTGTTGTCTCAGGTGACATGGATGGTCGTTCTCGTAGTCACACAAAACACAGCACTGACGGCATTCCCGATAAAGAGTTGTTTGCATCCACGGTGGCAGGAGGGATGAAAGACCCAGGAACTGCACAAAGAAAACCGGGCAGGTAATGCGAGCATAGCTGTTCATATAAAAAAAAAATCTTAATATTGAGTCTTTGCAAGGCAACAGAGCTTTACGACTGCAGGTCACGTCATGGTAGGCAAATCTCGGTTAATTTCGAGTCAGCTAGGGTTTCGATAGTGTGAGCACAAACTCCAGTGCTATCATGCTCAGTACGAGCTAAACCACACGAGCATGCAGCCAAGCACACTGCAATGTTGTTGGGAGGCACCGATTATAGCATATTCTAAAACTATCGAGATGAGTTTGGCTGCAGCTGTGAGTGTACATCTCCCCGATTCGCTTGTTTACAACCTCCAAGTTATCGTTTGCAAAGCTGATAACACAGCAGGTCAAAACGTGGGCGAGCGTGAGAGCAAGTCGAGGCAATGCACACGTACCGGAACAGCTGTACCCTCCCCGGATAACTCGAAATCATTTCACAGTAATCGATAACACCCTGCAACCTTACAGCACACTTGGCCAAGCACTTCCAGAATGTAGCTCATACCGAGCACGATAGCACAGATGTTGTGGTGTTTTACCCTTCGTGCAATGCTACCACCGCTGTAGCCACAGTTATGAAGTCAAAGAAATTAAATGAGAGCGGTGTTGATTCACGCAGTGTGTGAATAAGCTTAAAGGCAAATATATACATATATATGCACACACACACGCATATGTATGCCGTACTCTAGTTGTTACCAAGAAAACGTTTTTCTGTATAATCTTGCTGCAATATCTTAAGGGGCCCTGAAGCACTTTTTCTAGTACACATGGAATAAATTAACTGGAATATCTTATTGCCTTACGAATTGAACCCCGCAAAAATTTGAAGAATCCATCTAGTGCAAGTAGAATTACAAAGATTTGTCGCATGCTGCAATTACATTATCTCTTCTCTCGTCCCAACGAAAGTGCTGAAAGCTAAGCAGGGAGAGATGGCAGGGGCAAGAAAAATAATTCACCAGCGCATTACGAACTTGAGCACTTTTTTTTTCTTTGAATGCGTGGCTTTTTCAGTGTGATCGCACGCGCACACGTGGACAAGTCGTGGCCTCCTGCGGCTATCTCTGTAACGAAAGAGCGCGCCATGTTTAAATCAGCCAATGGCTTATAGATGGGTTTGGGGTTTGCTACAACTGGTTTTTGAGAGTCTTTTGTCATTTGTCGGGAGAAGAAGAAGAAATTTTTAGATTACTTTGATAATTTATTGTGAAATCCAGGCAGCGTGCTGCGCTATAATATTTGGCTCGCGCATTGTCGGGAGCTTCTACTACTGATCGGCAGCAGTTTCTGACTAGACTCAAAAAGTGTTGCAGAGCCCCTTTATATACATAGAAATACAGGTAACTCGAATGACAGCAAATGAGAAAGTATGCTACGAAACAACACTAATTAGGAGAACTGATAAAGAACAACATATCTCTTCAGCACTAAAGTTTAAGACGGAAGGGGATGCCTACATTTAAGAAACAAAGAAAACTGTAGAAAAGAGAATGTTCAAGAACATGTAGCAGGCACTTATTCAGTGGTTATTACTGATAATGTGACAATAAAATTACATATTATGGCAACAAATGTTTGAGCACATTAGATCGCTCAACTCCTACGAAGCACTAAGCTCAATGTGCAGATGATTTTGCATAAATATACAAGTACTGAAATATCGTGAATACAAAATATTGGCAAAGCACAGTAACTTACTTGGTGCTAAGAAATGCACTTACATAACTAATTGTGTGACAAATTGTGAAATGCCTGATTGGTGGAAAGTACTTCTGTGCAACAGGACAACAAAAGGAAGCTATAACAGGTAACAGAGAAGCAAGCTCCGGGAAATCTTGCATGTACAGAATGAAGAGGTAAAAAAGAGATGCGTGAGCACAAAATGAGAATAAAATACATCGTATCATTTGACAAGCAATGAGACGGAAAGCACCCCTGGCAAATCCAAGGCTAACGAAGATCATCAGAAATAAAGTGAAGCATTTCAAACATAAATGGGTAAATATTTTTCAGATAGAAAATACAAGTTAGAGTCAGGCATAAAACAAACAATAAGTGATGCTGAAAATATATATGACACTACTCTAATTTCAGCACTCTAATGTGCTTAACAAAAAAAAAACAATATACCTATTAACTAAAAAATCCCATAACAGTAGTTGTGGTATCAATCAGTTACAAATTTAAACAAAATGGCCAAACTAGAAGAAAAAGATGTAATTAGCGCAATGATACGAGCGTCCACATTTACATATGCACACAGTTAATGTTTTTAAAAACTTGATAGCAATGTTTGGCTCTACCACAATTAACAAGGCATTTATGTTGAAATTCCAATAAATACCCGACTTTCTTACAAAAAAAAAAACCAAGTTTCCTTAAAGAAAAAAAGTCACGATTTCACCACAAATTGCCAGCAAAGCAATGAAAGCTACAGCAACGAATCAGAATGTTACATGAAGAACAGCAAGCAGATAATAACTTGTAGCATGGTGCTCGAGCACAAAAGACACATGAAAACAACAAAACAACACACAGGACAAGTGCAAACTGACAATGTTCACAGCTCGACACCTAACACACTGCTCAAACACAAATGATGCACGAAATGTATGCATGCACAGGTATTCACAGGATGAGCGAGAACTAGCAAGTGCCACAGTTGTTACTTCACTGCGTTTCGACAGCATTCTCCTTTCCTCCGCAGATGGCAAAGTGCACCTTTATGCACTCTGTAACCTAAACAGAATTTTTCCGGCAAAAGCACACGACATACAAACTGCCCCCATAGCAAGACGAGCGAATGCACACATGGGAGACTATGCCTCATGGGGCAACATACTCCTTGATAAGCAAATGCAACGCAATGAGCAAGACACCGAGCGCGCTCTTCGCGCCATATCACTAGTAGATGGTGCCGAGGAATCCGGCCGTTCGCCATTAGTGAGGCTTACCGAGCACAACTATCGCAGCTCTAAAGAGGATGCTGACCACCTCTCCTTACACTGTAGGAACTGCGGCTGCGAACCCGTGTCGGAAAAGCACGAAGGTATCGAACAAAGAAAAAAAGTAAAGTAGCGCGGGAAACCATAGAGACGGCAGAAATGATCGGTAGGAAGGAAGAAGCATTAGCTGCCCATCAGTTGCTTTAGCTTCGAAAGAATGTTTTGAAGTATTAACACTTGACACTGTTACATATTTCTGTAGTATTTGTTGCTTTTGTATAAGTGAATTGGTTGCCACTACAAGCTAAGGTGCTATTGGCTCTGATAGTTGCACTATGCGCGCGTCATGTGTGAACAATGCGTGCGTCGCCTACATAAGCGATTTTATCAATTCTAAGAAAATGAGTTGAATTTCAGAGCTTGCGTTTGCGTCATCCCTTTGTCTGCCTGTTCGTTGTTTAACCTGGCGTGCACTGCCATACGCTGCAAAATAACAAAAAAACAGCACAGATGAAATCGCACTGACATTGTCTCTGGCACTCGTGCATGGTACAGGTGTCTCTAGAGATGTCCACTATGTGGAAAGGTCTGGTGACAAGACCTGTGAGGATATGCACATGAATCTTCAGGGTGAACTTTTGTGAAATTCTCCAAGGGCACAGGTGGCATATTCACGTGGGTGACTAAGCAGGTGGCATTTATACGAACTCTCTCCTGTGTGGGTTCACACACGAACATTCAATGCGAACTTTTGCGAGAAGCTGGGACCCAGGTGGCATCTGATCAGCTGCTGGCCCCTATGAATTCTGACGTGCTGCGGTGGTCTCGTAGCTGTAGAAGGGGCAACAACGGCGACATTCTCGACAAGGCTTCTCAGCAACCGTGGTCGTTGGCTCGGTGATAGATCCCAAAGCTGGACACAGAAAAGGTTACGAGACAGGTTACTTGAGTGATGCTTTCGTTTAACAGAAAATGAACAGGTTCAAGGGTTTCACGTGACAACACCGCACTAGTGTTATGCAGTAGTGGGGAAATTTCGATTGACTTGTAACCACCTGTGATTTTCTGATGCTTACATACAGACAAATATATTAGCGTTTTCGCATTTGACCTTTGTTAAAATACATATACTGTATCTATAGTCATAAAATGTCAGAAAGATTTAGAAAACTAACACTGACCGACACAAATTTTATAACTTTAATTACAATGGCTTCCTGGCAAATCCAGGAACAATGCACACTCGTGAATACTTCCCAATCGATTTCAGAATCAAGTCAATGAAACAAACTGCCACTTAGATAGTATAGATATCCTGCGCTGTACAGATGCCTCAGTATCTCAATATTTTTTTAACATCCCTCTATACGTGTAAGAATGCCCTAGCTACAAAGCACAGTGAGGAAGAATGCATGCTGTTCTGAACAGCACAATGTAGACAAGTTAAGCAACATGTATTTACTTCTGACTACATTTTTAAGAGCAACGAGATGCATATCTTAATGAAGTACTTAAGAAGAAAAGCATAAAAAAAGAATAGAACTTCAACAATAAACATCAGAACCAAGGACCACTTTTCACTAATATCTGCAGCTTGCACTTGGATAAATAATAAATGATGCCTGCAATATTTCGCCTTTCAACTTTCAAGAGGGATCAACTCCACTCTCTAGGAGAACCTAAACAGCACAGAAATCAAAAAGAGATCTAGAAAGTGAACGCGCTCTAACCAAGAGATTGGAAATGCTTGAACACCGCGGAAAAAGAATGAAACCATACAGTGTGAAAGAAAAGCAATCACAGTATCAGACTGAAAGCTCCGAGATAACAAAATATGGCTATATATAAAAAGTAACATGAAATATTGAAAGGCACATAGAAAGCTGGTGTTCATGATGTAACAATGAATCCAAGTGCCCTCAGAGTGCTTTGGTATTTCGTGGCATGCAACTGAGGAGAGAAAGTTTGGAATAATACATTAGCAACAACGAACATCATGAGAAGGAAAGCAGGCCTTGCTTCAACATAAAATGCATTCAAGAAGTTAATTTCATTTCTAAGCTAGGCATGTTATAATTACTGATCTATTACTTTATGGTGGTTATTTTATATGTGCTGACCTTTCAAGAGAGATATTTTCTGAAACGGGACTTCAATGTTAAGCTGCACATATGTGCTTAAAATATAAAACATACTTGGC